CCTAAGTGCCGAGAGGAAGTGGTATTCAATTGAGAAAGTCAAGAATATGAGTACTGTCATGCTTCATAACAGTAATGAAGTGTCATAAAGAACTTGTAACTAATTTACATATTGATACATGAAAATATATTTTCATTTTAAATGCGATCTCATGAATACGTCAAGTCCTATCAATAGCGTGTAGTTCTAGCACACAATCTGGAAATTGTAAATGAATCTCTGTGGGGAAAATTCTTTTTTGGTGGCAAAATATTTATTGAAATGCTGTTGATCTTGTTTAAATTGTTGTGTGTTTAAACTTGAAATATGGTATTTCGAAGTTTATTCGTTGTTTTTAGTGTGATCCTCACTACAGATTTCTTGAGTTCGTTGAGTTCTATTTTTATGATGCTTTTAAATCCCAATAAGAGAATACTACTATATGCTACTGTTTAACACATTTGACCATGTTTAAACCTTTTCCTCTAGAATTCCACAAAAATAAATAAATAAATGAAAATCTGCAGATTCCATTTGGGGCTGGTAATGAGATCACGTTGTTTTAGGTCAAGGCCTGCTTGGGGTTAATGTGTGCTCTGTTTGCAAGTATGGGTATTAATAAACCGAAGTGTTAAATGGTGTTAACATATTTTTCCCCCTTTGCAATAATTAATTATGTGAGATTTTGCAGTGATGATAACATTTACATTTATAGATCTGGTAGACACGTTTATCCAGAATGACTTGCTTACAGTCATACACTTTATCCATAGACTATGTGTGATTTCATTTGTTATCTTATAGACAAAAGCTGCTAGTGACTCGTAATAAAAGACCCCACATGCTACTCCTGTCCCCTCGTATGCCATAATGGCTATGCTGTGTGTTTTTATAGGAGGGCCGCAGCTGCTGCTTGTCATGGTGTGTTTATCTTGAAGCAAATTGTCTATCTGTGATTCCCTTCTTCCTGGTCTTGACCAATATTAAACTAGCAATACCTCTCACAAAGAAAAAAGCTGCAAACAGTATCTCAGCTGCAGCCGTGGAAAGAACATTATCTGAAGTATCTCTAAAGTGGAAATAAATAAATAAATACATACATATTTTAATAAAAAGTATTATTATTATTATTATTATTATTATTATGCAATACAAAATATCTACAAAATTAAATATAAAAAGGTTTCCTGACATGTAACACTTGTGAGTAGTCCTTCATTTACAGCTGATTTAGAGAAAAAAATATATAGATATAGATAGAAAGAAGTCCACAATATTTGCATTGTTGTTACCAGGGTTGCCAGGTCTGTGTAACAAAACCACCCCAACTGGTATTCAAAGCTAGCCCAATCACATTTCTGGGGAAAATGGCTATAACAATTTAATCAAAAGTGCATTATGGAGGGTCAAAACCTCCTTCCAGGGCTTCCACCTCAGCTGTTGGTTGGCAGGGGCCTTTGCTTCAACCTGCAGCATCTTTATAAAAGTAGACCAATTCCGCAGGAAAACCGAGGACTTGGCAACACTGGTTATAACATACATGCCTAGTAAAAACTGCAATGAGTGGAAAATAAAATGTAAGGAGAAAATATACTATAATGAGGTCTTTTAAGAGAACTGACAGGCACATTTTCATCGTTATGATTACCATATAAAGCAAAACTTCCCCACCAAGCAAACCCTGAATTCACTATCAGATATTTCTTTCTTCTTCATGTTAAATAAAATGCACACTTGTTGGTGATTATTTGCTAGAGTGTGTTGTAAATGACTATTTCAAGACTGCAAGAAAAGCAGACACACAAACACAACAAGAAGCCACTACTCTACGCCATTAACATGCAGAGACACCATAGCTAGTTTCCTCTCAAAGCTGACTGTGAATGATGAAACATGATGTTTATGATGTGTAAAATGACTTAACTGGAGATCAGAGATGTTTTTATGCCAATATGCTGATATTTTAAACACTTGGGGTAATGGTTTTTGTCAACATTTCTAACCCAGGACCAAAATGTCTGACTGTGGCTCCTACTCCAAACTTGTCATAGTATTTCAGATTGTTTTAAGTTATCAGTATCCTTTTTCATTGATAATCAGCTGGACTAACATTATCTATCTATCTATCTATCTATCTATCTATCTATCTATCTATCTATCTATCTATCATCTATCATCTATCACACGTCATGTTTAGCTAGCTGAATCCGAATGAGTCTTGTTAGAGAATCCTTAAGAATTTAACTTAAGTTATTCTGTTTTATATCATACAATAGTGCTGTTATTACATAGTAATAACAACATTATAACACATATGATGAAGTGGTGAATTATGAGTGTGCAGAAGATGGCATGAATGAATTGGTGTTTCTGGGCGCAGCGGTGTGATGAGGAGAGGAACATGAACACTGACTCATTGACAAACAGTCAAAATTGACAGACAACAGAAAACGAGAACTAATTTTCTCTAAAAGCAAACAACCAGCAACTCAAGGACTGCCGTCACTGCCCTGTCTGAAGTGGTTTGCTTCTCTGTACCTGAGAGGTCCTTGGATTTGGTACTAAATGTTCAGCACTCTTTCTGCAGGAACCGTCTTTTTATTTTGAAATGCCAAATTAACATTTAGCAAATGGGTTTATCTACCATTTATTTTAAAATATTATTATTATTATTATTATTAAATTACAAAATTAAATTAAATTAAAATAGTCCAGCACACCCTCACATTTGAACTTTTTTCTTGTTTTAATTTTTTCCATATCCTGTTCCATTTAAATATGGTAATATCTAAAGAGCACCAGAGTAATGTTGTGGTTAAACAAAGCAGTAAAAATGTACAACAAGGTCCCAGTAAGTATATTACTTAACAAACAAACACTAAATAAATAAATAAAGCATTGTAAAACATTAATTCATCTCAGTTGATGTTAATTTCAACATTGTATAATTAAAATAAAAAAGTAAATGTTCATGTAATGGACTTGAGCAACATAAACCAACAATAAAGGATTGTATTTTGTTAATTAACGGTAACAAAGATTAATAAATACTGTAATGAATGTACTGTATATTGTTAGCACATGTTAGTTAAACTAATGACAACTAATGAGACCTTACTGTAAAGTGTTAACAGTGAAGTTAATATTGTTTCCCTTTTGAATGTAATCTCAATCCACAGTGCACAAGTGGAAAGGAACGACTGTAACAGTTTATTTTACGCTTAAACAGTAAAAAATAAAAGTTTGCCTGATAACCCAAAATAGTAATTCATGACGTAAAATAAATTGAATGATTTGAATCAAGTCAAAAATATAATGAAACAAATAGTTTTGACACTAAACTCTGATTGAATGAGCCATGTTTGAAGATGTTGTTAAATGCCAAGTTGTTATTAATCAAGCTGATATATTGCTTGGAAACCGCAAACAGCCTACAGGCTAATGAACTTTATTACTTGCCAACCAGATTCATTAACATTATTATAATTATTAAATATAGCTATTTACTGATAATTGGTGTCTTGTGTTACTTAAATTTTTTAATTGAATATGAAGCAACCATTCGGTTTTGGCAACAAAACAAATTTTTAAGAATCATGCCTCCTTAAGCTAATAATTTGTGCAGCTGGAGTTATTGAATCTTCTTTCTCAGTTAACACCCATGAGTGGCCGAGGATTTGAAGCTCACACAAACACGTTCCAATGGATAAATGCTATGTTATTTCCACCTCTGCAGTACACACTGTCAAGACAAACCATTTTTCTTCTATCTTCCAGTCTGGCAATCTTTCCGGGCCTAATTCAATAACTTGTGCCCTCTGTGGCGTTTACAGTGAGATTTAGAGTGGGCGACTGCAGTGTTCCAACCAAACTAACAATGGCCAGTGCTTTGGGAGAGAAAGGCCCTCATCAATACCGGTTTGCTTTAGTTGCTGTGCTCATCCCTTCTTCTTCAATACAACCTTTCCAAATAGCCAAGATCCACAGAATATGGAGTGCTTTCCTTAATGACTATTGACGACTTCCCACCAATTCAAGGCAGTCTGAAAAGCTGCACAACAACAGGAATTAAAGGGTTATAATATGTTATAATAAACCTGATGGGCTATATAATCAGATAATATGAAAATAATGATTAAGCTGACAATGCTTTTAATACCTAAATTATAAATACATAATAATGTGTCATACTACACACCATAAATGTGTCTACATAGCTTGTCAAAAACTTCGTTTAAATTTTTGTTGTGTCACCCACTGTCGCCTTACTGGTTATCTTACATAACTATATATTAAACATTTACATTATTCATTTAGCATATGTGTTTACCCAAAGCGACATCAAATACAGTGACTGTAATTGGCTGCTTCACACAGCATTTTTGAACAAACAAATTCCTTCTCTTTGGAAACTTACAGCGTACAGCAACTTACTTACATTTATATGTTTTAATAATTACTTCCAATGCAGACATGATTACAAGATCATAATTAATTATCTTGCAGTTGTTTTTGGTTGTTGCTCTTAGTTTTGAAGCCTTTAAAAAAAACACTTCAAGTGACTAAAAAGGACAGAGATGGGGATCTCCAGTTGATTGATTTGGGCATTCAGTGCAAAGCAAGATACTTATCGTGATACTTGTAATGATACTTGATACTTGATACATGGTAATGCTAACAGAATAGAGAATTACTCTGACCAAGGTTTTTGTAGCCTCTTGCTAAGCCAGCTGAGCGGAACTTGCCTACCGACAAACATGGCAGTTAAACATTAGATACACGTTTTTCTTTTCACCTGATTTAGAGGGAAATCATATCAGTTTTTGCTCTATCAAGGTCACAGCTTACTGTGATAATGGGGACTGAATTTACTGTGAGGAGACAAGGCATGAAAAGACTCACAACCACTTCAAGACAGGTATAACTAGGGCAGTTGTGTTGCCTAGCACCATCAGAAACACAGTCTTTACTGTGGAAATTTAGTTTTTGGTCAGGAGGCACCAACCAACCCCTCCCCCTACCTGGGTACACAGGCCTGAGAGTCAGACTCAGGGGCGTCTGGAGCAGGACAGCAGAACTGGTGTAGAACTGTCTGGTTCCTGTAAGAAAAGAGAAAGGGAAATGGTCACGCTAGAGTGTAAAGGCTTTTTCCTAGACTCATTATTAAGTAGAACGAAAGTGGGTCATTACAGTGAGGGACTGAATTAGCAGACTTTTGTCAAGACATCAATCCCCAACAAGAAAATAGTGTGAAAATACTGTCAAACATGGATAATTTGCGATGTCAAGGTACAAAAAGTTTGCAGTAAATATCATACTTTGGCTAGTTACGCTAATTCAAGTAACCGTTTGGAACCAAAATAATTGGGGAAAAAAATTCTCTACCTGCATATTTGCATACCCCCAAACACTAGTTTAAATGAACACTAGTGGCCGTAAAACACCAACAACTTTTATCACTTTTTACACAAATTGTGATTATGGGAAAGGTTATCGATTAATAAAGACTTATTTTCATATAGTTTCTCCCACAATACTATGCTATGACCTCTAAACACTTTTACCATACTGCACGATTTATAAACTAATAAATTTTCATGTTTGTGTTACATACTGTAAACAGCTCCATGTGTACGGCTTTTGTGATCAAAGTAAACTTGATCAGTAACTCACCTGGTGCAGTATTACACTTGCAATGTAGAGGTCACGATAAGTCACGATAACAGAATTTGTCAAAGACTTGCACAGAAGCAAGCTAAAATGGCATGGTTGCTTTAGCAAATGTGCTTTTATCTCAGGTTTGCTCTTGTTAACACTATTGGATATGTTTAGGGAAGGGTTTAGTGTCACTGCTATGTTGTTTTCACGCAATGGAACATTAACCTTTCATCACTCACAGGACAATTTCTTTCTGAACTGCAGTGATATGTACAACAACCAACTTAGAGCGTTGCCAGATTCATGTTAATCTCTTTCAGATACTCATATTTCTTCCCCTCACTGGGCATTTCACTTTGAAAATGTAACATCCAAGAAGCAACATAATACAATTCTGCAGGCATGTTTTTTTCAAGGAGCCTTGGTTGGTTTAAACTTAAGTGTCTATTTTGTAAATTCACATCTGTTACATGCTTTTTGTAAAGGCTTGCAATTCATCAAGACTATTTTCAAATATTGAATTGGCTTTACAATAATCAAAATGTATCATTGTTTGTGTCACTTTTTCAATTGCACATAACTGATACATAGCTGAATCTCTAGTTAATTGTAAAATGAGTTTAAGTACTGATTTAAAAAAAAAAAACTAAATGCAGTGTGATCATATTCAGTTTTGGAACATTGAATACAATTGTAACAACGTTCGTAGTCACTGGAAGAAGAAGAAACTGGCGAACATTTGAACAAAACTTTAATAATAAAATAAACACAAAATAGCGCGACAGCCCCTCATGGACGACTGCCGCGCACAAACAGAACCAAAATACAAAATAAAATCCAGGCCTGGTCCTCTCTCGTCCAACACTGTCGTCACTCCTCCTTTTATCCTTCCGGAGCTCCTCCGTGGTACTCGAGACCGGTGAGTGCTACAGGTGTCGCACATTAGCATTTACTCCACCGGCCTCGCTCCGTTCCCATGGCTCTTGGCCATGAACCCTCTCATCACATACCCCCATCGCCCTTCGCAGGCCAGGGGGTACCCTAACCCTCCACCAACTGGGTAAACTCTTCCGCGATGCCTGGCGGCGGCACTGGATAGCCCTCGGTGGATGGCCCGACACGCTCCTCCATATCCGGGGTAGCCGGCAGGAGTCCCCCGTTCCCTGCTCCTCCCCATCATGGCGGATGGCAGCAGGCTCCGGCCTCGGGTGAATGGCGCCGACTCCTCCGCTCCCTCATGGACGGCAGCCGTCCCTCCACATCCCAGGTGGCCGGCAGCGAGTTCATCCACCCCCTCGGCAACTCACTCCAGCCCACCGCCTTGAGCGCCCATGGCGGCAGACTGCTCCGCCATGCTCGATGGCACCGCGGATTCACCCCAGCGGCGAGGGATCTCTGGCAGCGTGTCCCTCCTTCTTCCCGGGTTTCGGCACCAATGTAACAATGTTCGTATTCACGGGAAGGAGGAGGCGGGAACCAAAAACACGAAATAAACCAAAACACAAAATAAAATCCAGGCCTGGTCCTCTCTCGTCACTCCTCCTTTTATCCTTCCGGAGCTCCTCCGTGGGACTCGAGACTGGTGAGTGGCGCAGGTGTTGTGCATTAGCATTTAATCCACCGGCCTCGCTCCGTTCCCACGGCTCTCGGCCCCGCCCCTCTCGTCACAACAATGTAATAATCTAGTTGCAGATTATACTTAGTGGTGTGCTACTATGACACAAATAGACTAGAAGCTGACCTAGAACAGCTTTACTCAGAAGGATACTAGTGCATCTGTCTTTGCACAGTTGGCTGTCCTGTTTACTGTGTAATGGAGTGTTAAATGAAGTCATCTATTCATGGCAAATCACAGAACAGCATAGCAAAGCTAATGCTGTAAGGCCAAATATAGCTGGCTCCATACATATAAATGACATCATTATAGACCAAACAGTTATAAAATTAGGTTGTAATAGTTTATTGTGCTATATCAAATTAACCTATAGAAATGTAGTCAGTGTTTTTTGTTATGTTGCTCTGGCCGAAATGGCAGTTGCATTCGACCCATGGATAAACTTCATGCAAAATTTAAAAAAAATTTCAGCTATTGATATGATCTGTCTCTATTGATATGCTATTGATATGTGATGGTCTCATGTGATTGTAAAAGTATTTAAGCATTTAAAACCTTTAAACATTTAAAAGCATTTTAAGCATTTAAAATGTAAGCATTTTTGCTGAATTTCACACACAAGAGAGTCTTTGCAATAAAACATAATGGGCCACAATAAAGTTTAATGAGTAAACAGAGGGTCTTTACAATCACGCTTGCAAAAAGGTCTTTTTTTCCCATTCTTTTTTAAAACCTGACTAATATGGCAATAAGCATTACAATTTTAACTGCTTGCTCCTTATTGACTGTGAACCAACTGGCTATTACAACAGGCCATTTTGTAAAACATAAAAACATTATTTGCCAGTTAAAACTTTGACAGTTAGTATTCAATGCCATAATGTCAGCGCAATTCACATAATAAAATACTGTTGTTTAAAGAGAAGTTTATAGTTTTGCAGCGGGTAAATATGGAATTGTGTATTGTGTAAGAATTGTGTGTTCACTATAATGACTGTGTTTGACATCATATTAGAAAAGTTTATTTTAAAAAAAAGAAAAGAAAAATAAAAAAGTAGTAATTTATAGTTCATTGAATTAATAACTCAAATATTCAAACACAAGAGTGGATTTTAATCTTTGGTTAGGTCTCGAGTCTGAGTCCAAGATCATATTCTCATGGTCTTGATCTTGTCATAATGTAATTTCTCCATTATGGGTCCAAAAAGCGTCTTTTTCCATTGCCAGCTATTTAAAATTAGTCAACAGATAGCTTTCAACAGATAATATTGTCATAATCAGTGCTTGAAATATTTAATGTTTTCTTGTGAATGAGCATCCACTAATAGGACAACAGCTACAACTGTAGGCACTACAGCCCAAAATGGTACATGAAGATACAGAGAGATAGATGAAAAGACAGTTATTCTGGAAGAGACCCGTTAACCGTGAAACCCCAACCTCGAAAGCAGGACACCACGGAGGACAATCGGCCATGTCAATTCAAAAGCCATCTCACACCCCTCCGTCCTCTTCCTAATACAAAACACAAAGCATCTGCCACTCAGCTTACTGCTTTAATCTCCAGATATGAGGGTGCCATCATAAATGGCATGTCCATAAACACCACCGCATCCTCCACCACACCAAAACCTCTGCTTCCTTTTTTTCACCCTCAATGCCGCTGGTCCCTCCAGTCCGTCAGAGCAAATAAAAGAGGATTTGGCACAAAGAGGGTAAGTAGTATTACTCAAGATGTCATATGGCTGAGTTAATAAAAGTTATGCTGTTATTTTAGCTCTACAGTCTTTGGACATGTAGGGGGCAGAAATCCCATTTGCTAAGACAGATCATCTCGTTTTCTCCTTCAACCTCTATTTCAACCCTTTAACTCTTCTCTGCAATTACTTGAAGAGTAATTCAGAGTGATTCATTCTGGTCCCTCTTGGAGAAGTACTACTGGATTTAGAGTCAACTCAAGGACACAGCAGCAGGAGGTCAAGAGGGAATGGAACCATACCTACTATACTAGAGGCCAGAGACCATATTGGCATAAAGTGGCAGTTTTAATCTCTTTCGTTAATATATGTGAGTTTATTACTTCAGTTTTGAGCTGGATTATTATCCCAAATGGGAAATTCGTTTGAAAACAGAGTTGTTGTTTTTTTTAATACACCCTAAATAAATACATGAAGTTATGCAATTATTGTTTAACAAAATCTAATCCAAATTTTGTGGTTGGATCAAACTGACTGTTGCAGAAGTTCTTGCAAATGTGTTGCACTTCTAGGTTGCTTTGCTTTCACTCTTCTATCCAGTTCAACCAGCTCCATGGACTCTACTGTCCATCATTCCATGATTTGAGGCCTTCAGGTCTTCTGAGGTAGTCTTGCCATAGCCTGGAGGTATGTTTTAGGTCATTATCCTGCTGTAGGATGAACTCTGGACTAACTTTGCTAGAAAGTATTCAATGGCACTGCAAAATGCTGTGCATGTATTTTTGGTTCACAGTGCCAGAAAGTGCAAGTTGCTGACTCTGGATCCAACAAAAGCCCCAGACCAGCCTGCTTTCTCCACCATTTTTGACAGTTGGTGTTACGAAATGAGGAATCATCCTATTTGATGGAATACAAAAGTGACAGTGTCAGAACTTAATTTTCCTATACGCAGTTAGCAACATGACATTGCAACTCAGGTGACTGGCTCAAAGAAAACTCAATTTCAGCATGAAGGTTACATACTACGCCAACTGAGCAACTATTGATATGTGAATACTAACAAACATGACTATACTTTCCAGCCACCTGGTTTATAAAACAACTAAATTTCGTGATCAGATATTTAAAT